TGCCCTACCGTAAGAGAACTAGGTTATGGAACAACCTGAACGGTAGATGGACGCCTAAACCGTTATGTAAAAGGGACCGCGGACAAATGGCAGGGAACAAACATTTACAAACGGCACAACGAATGCCAAGATGTAAGAAGGATATGTGGAAAAAATCACAAGCAAAGCGATTTGTAGGTCATTCCGGAAAGTTTGATTAAGGAGATATTCATGTCTTTAAACCAACAACAACTCGTGTCGCAAGTATGGTTTTTGTAGTCCTTCCAGTTTGCAAGTCCTGTTCCCCATCATGTCATACTTTATTTTTATGAAACATAAATAATCAATAACTGATGATCCTGAAAAAGATAATAAAAACAAAAAATAAAAAAATAAACAAACAGCACAAAAAACAATCACAAAATGTGTAAGCACAACAGACAACAAACAAAAAACAAAAAACAAACACACATAAAACACAATTAACACAAGCACCCAGAACACGTCTATTTGTTCTGCTTTTTTTTCTGTTCTAGCAAAAGCTGGCCTTGAAATCAGGTTTTCTGTAAAAAACCTAGGAAAATACAAAAAAATAAACAAAAAAGACACAAAAAATAAGCAAAAAAGAAACAAAAACAACACAGCTCGAAATGGAGGGAAGGACGGTCTTTGACCGGGTTTTCTGTTTTTGTATTTATTTTGTTTTTTTTTAAATATGTTTAATGATTTCCAGTCTTTGATGGGTCTTGATAATCATAACTTTATTTCCTTTACTTTTGTAACTTTCCTTTGACCACTTTGAATTGTATTCCTTCCTGTCGGTGTAGTTCCCCTTCCTCTTATGAAAGTATTTTACCATATACCCTGCGAGAGGGGGCATCCTCGGGCTAGGGTAGGCCCTATCATAGGCCCCTATCCTAGGGCTAGCCTGGGCCTGGGATAGGGGGGGGTCCGGGTAGGCCCTATCATAGGGGGGGTCCTAGGGCTAGCCTAGGGCCTACCATAGGGGGGGTCCTAGGGCTAGGGTAGGGGCCTACCATAGGGGGGGTCTTAGGGCTAGGATAGGGCCTACTATCATAGGGGGGGTTTTAGGGCTAGGCTAGGGCCTATGCTAGGGCCTATCCTAGCCCTAGGACCCCCTATGGTAGGCCCTACCCTAGCCCTAGGACCCCTCCTATGATAGGCTCTACCCTAGCCCTAGGATACCCTAGCCTAGCCCCCTTGCCTCCCTGCCTAGGGGGGTAGGCTAGGTGAAGGGAAGGCCTATCATGGGACTTCTGTGTGGCCCTTAGGCAATTTTTCTGTACTACCTACCGGTAATAGAAGTTGTAGATCGCATTCCGACATAATGCTGAACCTGCGATTTCTCTAATTATTCTATTATTCGCAAGCAAACCGCCTCATCAACTGGATGGGAACGATTGGGAACGCAAATGCCTCCTCCTTCTCTTCGCCAGAGAAATCCGCGACGTCGAAGACAATCCGCCGCACTCCCAAGAAGGTGCTAATCTTAGAGGCTGAGAAATCACAAGACTTCCCAACAAAAACAACATGGGGCCAGTCTTCGCATAGCAAAACGTGAACACAAGATTTAACTTTGACATGCTTAGCTGAGGAAGTGCTGAGTGTCAGACCAAGTGCCAAAAGACTGCCTGGCATGGCGAAAACTCCAGTGTACCGAACATGCAAGAGCTTGCGCATCCCATTCTGGCATCTTCAATGGAATAGCAGTGTTCTATGCTTATAATGTATATATCATAGGATAGGAAGTTGTATTCAGCACCAATTTTGTTCAACGTGCAGACGTGCAAACACAAAGTCTGTGCACCGAATCTTTAGGTATTACATAAAGAAGCAGGAACGTATGTGGGTAGTGATCAGGTGAAACCTGGGCATTAAAGGTGAAACACCTTCCAGCGCGCGCCTTCTTGAAGAAGATGAAAGGGAGAAAAAACAGGGAAGAAGAGCGTCGAAGAGGAATGCGCAGCATATGGCCGGTCTTCATGTTCAACATTTTGGCCATCGTGTTATGCATCACAACAGCATGTGTTGCGGCCTTCTACACTGCAGGACAGAGGCAGGAGACACAATCGGTGACGTCACTCCATGAAGAAACTTTTCGGTGACCAACAGGGTTAGTTGCCAAATAACAAACGTAAACCTCTCTGGTCTGTGCATGTTGAATCACAAATCTGTAGTGTTCTACATTGTCGGGATCATACTGTTCAATATGTCAACATACTAAACGCACCTTTGAGGGTTTCTTGGAATCAGTTGTAAGTGATTGTCAGAAGTCATAGAGAGTAGTGTTATATACCGTGTGTGTGTATATATAAACTCAGTCACAGGCTCTTTTCCTCGCGTTGCAGCAAGCTTGTCAGATTAAACCAAAACTTCAACGAAAATTCGAACAACCTCTCGGGGCCCCG